AAGAAATGCACTTATTTTAAGAAAAAATGACTTATATAGATTTCATTTTTTTTCCAGTGCACTGAAGACATGATTTAACGTGAATGTGATATTGAATGGCGCCTTTCCTTTATTTCATTTTTATATTTTAATTTTTTTGTTGTTGTTTTTTGTTTATTCCCACTCCCTATACTATACACATGTAAGATGTTAGGCAACACAGTGTACAATTTTAAATTTTTTTTGCTTGTGAAAACAAAAAAACTAAAGAATAAATCTTTCAGATCCATAAAGACATGAGAAAATGGAGGCGGCAACGGCCATCAAAGGTTCTGATGGTACCGGACCTTTAAAGTCAAACACAATTCAAACACCCTAAAGGCTTTGAAGGATGAACAGATGTTTATGATTAAACTCTGATGGTTTAACCGACTTTCTGGAGTGTTTTGGACTTGGATCTGCTGTGAGCTTCACCTTAACGTCCTTCACCTACAGGATTTGTTCTGCTAATGAGCAGAATTAAAGGTACAGTAGCTGATGTTCTTTTTCTGGGTGGATCATCTAGATAAGTGGTCCTCCTATCTGTCAATCATTCTGGTGATATGTTTACCTAAGGCCGTCCTACGTGCTCGTCCCCATTTCCCTTACCGGTGGTGAGTCTGACATAGTGGAGAAATTGCAAATCTTCTTTTGGAAAGTAAGCTTGTAAGAGTGATGCAAACAGAAAAGTTTAAACAGAGCGTGCAAGAGGAGAAATGGGCTTGTGCACGCTCTCGCACATGTTTAATAGCTTTTCGCAATTCGCAAAAATTCTTCACAATACCTTTAATGGTTCTATTAACCTGCCCACACCATCACTCTACCACCTCTGTGTTCAGTTGATCGTATTAACCGAGCTCATTCTGATTGTACGGTGGCCCTGAAGTGCAAACTGCAACTACAAATCTAAAAGCGCAACTACATTAAAAAAACAAAACTACTTAAAGCAAAGCGCAACTACATTAAGAAAAACAAAACTACATAAAGCGAAGCGCAACTACATTAAGAAAAACAAAACTACTTAAAGCAAAGCACAACTACATTAAGGAAAACAAAATTACATTAACTTACCAGAAAAGGTAGGTACCAGTGGGAAACATGAGACATCGCTGATTGGACGACGGCGCCGTTTGACCCTTGAACCGGAAGTTGCGTCGTCTGAACATTCCAGCTTCTTTTAAGTGTGTCTTCAGTGTACACAAACTAACTGAAATTTCGTGATTAGTCTTGAGCATATCCAGTATCACCTCGTACGTATGTCCTGATTCAAAATATTCCTGGATAACGGCAGCTATGTTTGGGGCGCCGACAGTATCCATGTTTTCAAAAGCCACAGCAGGCAGAATGACTTCCGGTCCAAGGGTCAAACGGCGCCGTCGTCCGATCAGCGATGTCTCATGTTTCCCACTGGTACCTACCTTTTCCGGTAGGTTATTGTAACTGTGCTTTCCTTAATGTAGTTGCGCTTTGCTTTATGTAGTTTTGTTTTCCTTAATGTAGTTGCGCTTTGCTTTATGTAGTTTTGTTTTCCTTAATGTAGTTGCGCTTTGCTTTATGTAGTTTTGTTTTCCTTAATGTAGTTGCGCTTTGCTTTATGTAGTTTTGTTTTTCTTAATGTAGTTGCGCTTTGCTTTATGTAGTTTTGTTTTTCTTAATGTAGTTGCGCTTTGCTTTATGTAGTTTTGTTTTTCTTAATGTAGTTGCGCTTTGCTTTATGTAGTTTTGTTTTTCTTAATGTAGTTGCGCTTTGCTTTATGTAGTTTTGTTTTTCTTAATGTAGTTGCGCTTTGCTTTATGTAGTTTTGTTTTTCTTAATGTAGTTGCGCTTTGCTTTATGTAGTTTTGTTTTTCTTAATGTAGTTGCGCTTTGCTTTATGTAGTTTTGTTTTTCTTAATGTAGTTGCGCTTTGCTTTATGTAGTTTTGTTTTTCTTAATGTAGTTGCGCTTTGCTTTATGTAGTTTTGTTTTTCTTAATGTAGTTGCGCTTTGCTTTATGTAGTTTTGTTTTCCTTAATGTAGTTGCGCTTTGCTTTATGTAGTTTTGTTTTTCTTAATGTAGTTGCGCTTTGCTTTATGTAGTTTTGTTTTCCTTAATGTAGTTGCGCTTTGCTTTATGTAGTTGTGTTTTCCTTAATGTAGTTGCGCTTTGCTTTATGTAGTTGTGTTTTCCTTAATGTAGTTGCGCTTTGCTTTATGTAGTTTTGTTTTCCTTAATGTAGTTGCGCTTTGCTTTATGTAGTTGTGTTTTCCTTAATGTAGTTGCGCTTTGCTTTATGTAGTTGTGTTTTCCTTAATGTAGTTGCGCTTTGCTTTATGTAGTTTTGTTTTTCTTAATGTAGTTGCGCTTTGCTTTATGTAATTGTGTTTTTCTTAATGTAGTTGCGCTTTGCTTTACGTAATTGTGTTTTTCTTAATGTAGTTGCGCTTTGCTTTATGTAGTTTTGTTTTTCTTAATGTAGTTGCGCTTTGCTTTATGTAGTTGTGTTTTTCTTAATGTAGTTGCGCTTTGCTTTATGTAGTTTTGTTTTTCTTAATGTAGTTGCGCTTTGCTTTACGTAATTGTGTTTTTCTTAATGTAGTTGCGCTTTGCTTTATGTAGTTTTGTTTTTCTTAATGTAGTTGCGCTTTGCTTTATGTAGTTGTGTTTTTCTTAATGTAGTTGCGCTTTGCTTTATGTAGTTTTGTTTTTCTTAATGTAGTTGCGCTTTGCTTTATGTAGTTTTGTTTTTCTTAATGTAGTTGCGCTTTTAGATTTGTAGTTGCAGTTTGCACTTCAGGGCCACCGTATGATTTGCTAAAAATAAGCATCAAATCCCAAAAAGAGAAAATGGCTGAAGTGCTGGATTTATGGCGGCGCCCTGTGACGTTCGATTCCAGTTAATTCACAGTTTATTAAAGGAACAGTTATTCTGTGACTCTGCCTCCAAAAACAGTTTATTAGTTTTGATCTGGTCGTCTTTGTCTGATCTGAAACGTTTATGTTTGTCTAAAAACATGCAGAGCAGAAGTCGTCCCTCTGATGGAAAACACCTTTTTACGCCCCCGAACCGGAGAACACAAACAACGGCGAGGTGGGCGCCCCCTCCCAGTGTTTCTTTAGATGTGCCTCGGTGAATTACCCGTCTCGGTCACATCCACTTTCATTACCGCCTGACATTTAGTGAGGCGCCCCGGTGTACCTGAATGTCACATGGTAATGAGGATGGATACGACGGTGACAGAGCCGTCGATGGAGGCGGCAGCAGCGGCGGCACAGCCCCCCCCCCGACTCGTGACACAAACGTGTTACAAACATCACAATCTGGCTCCATGTGGAGACCAAGACAACAAGCAAACTCTATTTACCAGACCTCATTCTCTCATTCGGACCCCGAGTAATTACTTTTAAATTGCAAAAACTGGGGAACATTAACAAACGGATGCAGCAATTTAGCTCCGCCTGAGGCTAGACAGCTTGTTTTCAAATGGAAATGAAGGTATTTTGCCATTGTCCACTGCTGTATTGTGGTGTTATGGTTTGAGGCCTTTTTTTTTTCCCTCTCCCCCCGCGTGCATGATAAAAGCGCCGGTGTTTACCAGGCCCATTGTTGCGGACGACTGCTCAGAGCGAGGATAATTCTGGCTTAATACTAACGCTGTCGGAGGAGAGCGTGGCTCCTTCTGCTCAGAAAGACAGACACGTCGCCTCGGCAAACACTTCAGCGATATCTGAGGTGTGACAGCACAAACAGAGCAGAAAAAAAGCAGCTCCTTTCCTCCCCGGCGAAGAGGGGAGCATTTTCCCCATGTCAGGGTCACAACACTTCAATAGCAGCCATGATTATCATGATCAGCTCTAATGAGGGGGCTTCAGGGGTGAACGCCTCTCGCTCCTTTTCCTTTAACACAGCCTGTTATTACCACTTTTTGTTCCTTCTCTCTGACTCACACTCCAGGCCCGTCTTGTAACGTGTAATTCTCTCCCCAATAGCGGGCCTGTCATCCTGCCCCTGTCACCGACCTGACAAGGCTGACGAAGGCGCCCAAAAATCGCAGGGAGCACAAAGGAGAGGCGGCCGGGTCTCCATTATGGCCTCGCTGGGGTCGCTGCACGGCTGATGAGGTCTGGAACAATCTCGGGAAACGTGTCAAGGGCGCCGACTCATTGTCACAGCGGGGTTTGGTCAGGCCGAGAAAATAAGAAAAAATGGAGCTGCTGTTTGATCAAGGTGCCTGAAATTGTGATATTTCAGCTAAAGATGAGAGTAGAGCAACGGTTCCAACCGCATTTTAACAAAACGCTGCAAACATTAAAGTTTCTAACCTTTTTAATTTACAAAACTACAAAAAATTCTTCAGAGAAAAGAAACGAATGAAGCACAAAAGCAAAGAGACGACGCTGCATGTTTTCCTTCCACTCAACTTTCAACAAAGATCAAAGAATAACCAGCTTTTAAAGCACTTTTTTTCCTCTACCCATCCTCCCTAAATTGTTTGGCCATAAAATGACATGTATTATGATTTGATTTGAATATTTATTCAACAATCTCTCTCTGCTTTTTCTCATAGTAGCTTCATCTGGTCTGTTCCTGTTTGGTTGTGACTCCATCCAGGAGAGAAATATCAGCTGTGCTGCTGCCATCAACACCTTTGTTTATAGATGTTGGAGATTGGCCTGTTTTTTCAGTGTAGTCCTGTTTCTCTGACTGTGACTGGCTGGATGTGCTCTCTTCATCCTCTGACATGGGAGCTGCTCGAGAGCTCGTCTGCCTGGCTGTTTGTTTCCTGGATGTGTCCGCTTCACTGGAAAAAGTGTAGCACAGAGTTGTTCATTCAAGCTAATAACTACCATTGAATACAATGTAAAATAATTGACTTGGTTGTGAAAGTCTATTTTTTTGCATTCTGAGGTGTCAATTTTGATTCAGACTGAATTAATAACAATTCTGAAGGGAAGAAAGCAAATATTTTGGTTCCTCTCAAAACGTTATTGAGTCAGTCACGTGAGAAGAAGTTGGGGAGAAGTGCTTGGAGAGCTTCGTCCATTTTGGCATGGGGAAGAAGGAATGATTAACGTCCTAGCACGTCATCAAAGAATAAACCTGCGGTAAGTACTAAACTAAGCTGATGTAAGCGTGTCTTAACAAGCCTACAATTTTATTAATGCGGTTAGCTTGGCTACACGGTGAACTTCACTAGCTTAACCCATGTAAAGCCATGTTAGCAATTAGTTAGTCTAGTGCAGGGGTCGGCAACCCGCGGCTCTGGAGCCGCATGCGGCTCTTTCATTCTTATACTGCGCCTCTGAGTGGCTTGGGAAAATAAATTACTAAAAAAAAAACTAAGTATTTAATTTAAGTCGGTGTTTCCCGCAGCACTATCTTGGCGAGGCGGTAGCGTGAGTTTGGCGAGGCCTCGCCGAACTCACGCTACCGCCTCGCCAACGTTCCAAAAGAAAAAGAAAAAAAAAACCCAAACCCCCGAAGTTTTAATTCATTGCCAGGCCCAGACATTAAAACAGAATCGGTCTCCGCCAGTCACGTGACATGTGTTGCTAAGACGCCATTTTAGGTGGAAAAGGCGTAGTGTACCGCGCCCGAGTTAAACAGATGAGTAATTTTCTTTGGCCCCGTCCACACGAAGTCAAAACGAACACGAAACGCTGATATTTTCCAAAACGTTTGCCGTAAAGACGGAGACGTAAAATAAATGTGAGCGTCCACACGAATGCATGAAAACGCTGCAAAATGTATGCCAGGCCTGTAAGTGGCGCTGTGGTGCCAAAGCAAAAATAGGCGACGAAATGTTGGGCATGCGCACTAATATTTATACATGGTTGCCCTGCGGGTCCATTTTCATGGTTCAGTCAAATTCAGGTGATGAACTATGTCGTCTATATTGCTCTGTTCTTCCTGGAGATATTCCAGAAGAAGAAGATTCTGTTGTAAGCCCGACAGCAGGGTGAGTAGCATTAGCAGCAACGGCGCCATTGTTGTTGTGATACTGGTCGCGCATGCGTGTTTAGAGGCGACGCTATGACGCATGCGTGTAAAAAAAAAAATGCGGTTAGAGCGTAAAGATGGAAACGCCAAAACGGCGTTTCAGAATCTTCCCACTCTGAAGGCTGAATAAAAAAAGATCGTTTACAGACCCCCGAAACGCCGGCTTCGTGTGGATGAGAGGATGGTTTGGTGAAAAATTTGTGCGTTTAGGCCAGGGAACGTCTTCGTGTGGACGGGGCCTTTGATCATCCGAGGAGACGTGTGGGGTGGGGGTGGGGGTGACGTGACGTGACGTCTTCGTCGTCATCATCATCGGTGAACTATATCTAAAAAGGTAAGTAGTTAATTAAAACTGATAATAGAAAATTAATATCTGCCTCGTGTGCTCTGACAAATTAAGATAGGATTTAGTTTTATGTATTTAATTTGACCCCCCCCACCCCGCTCGACAGTTATCCACTCAAAACTGGTTCCGGCCGACACCTCACCGCCTCGCCTAAGCTAATTCCTGCGGGAAACACTAAGTTCATTTTATTTTTGTTAGTTCTTTAATATTTTAGTCATAAATTGGAAGATTATTGTGATCTTGACATATTAGAATTAATATGTTATTGTTTTTTCGTCGCTCAAAATACACATCATACTCGCATTTGAAAGAGACATTCAGACATTTTGTTATTTTTTCAAGAATTCAAAATGTGTTCATTAGATAAAATTTTATTTTCTCTGTAGCACTTTGTTGATTTCTACGGAAGAGGATTAGGGCCACTGGAAAAAAAAAAAAAAAAAGTTAACTGATTTTTTTTTATTTTATTTCAGTATAGTATGGGAAAAAAAGTCAGAATGTCAGAATTCTGACTTTAGCAGTGGGAGGTTTGTGCATAACCACACACAACAGTCTTTGGACTGTGTGAGGAAACCCAAGAGAAGAGAACCCACTGCTGAACAGGGAGAAGGTGCTAACTCCATACAAAAAGGCTCCAGCGTAGAGATCCAAACCTACGTAACAGGATTAGGGCCACTGGGAAAAAAAAAAAATAATTAACTGATTTTTAAATTTTATTTCAGTTTAACATGGGAACAAATTCAGAATTCTGACTTTAATCTCAGAATTCTGACTTTTTTCTCAGAATTCTGACTTTTTTCTCAGAATTCTGACTTTAATCTCAGAATTCTGACTTTTTGATTCTGACCATGTTAAACTGAAATAAAATTTAAAAATCAGTTTACTTTTTTTTTTTTTTTCAGTGGCCCTAATCCTCTTCCGTAGATTTCATAAGCAACCCACTTTTGTTGTTTATACAAAGTATAAAGGTAAGAAAAAACAATATAAACAGATGTACTAGAATGGCTTTACATTTTCACTGCTTTCAATTAGTCTGCCATGGATTCAATATTGACCAGGCACACACTGTAAAAGCACTGTTTATGGTAGAGCTGGGAATTAAGTTGCTAGACTAATCTACACATCGCATAATAACCATTTTCATTGTCCCTAAAGGGTGCTGATGAACATTTCAGAAGGGAGTGTATCCTCAAAGCTCTCATCATCTACCTGGGAGAACGTGTTGAGGACCTTATAAAGGAATACATGGTATGTCCAGATATTTTCTGTCACAATGATGATTCAACTTTATTCCTCACGGGAGACCACCTATGCCATTAAATAGGGATGCACGATATAATCGGCCCCCTATCGGTATCGGCCTTAAAACTGAATATCGGACATCGGCCACCCCACGGATATTTAACCCGATATTTGATCAGCTTTTGAGTTTATAAACTCTAAAAAAAATAAAAATAAAATACTACTTCTTCTTCTTCCTCAAAAACGTCTTTTTTACAGACTTAAAAACTTCTAAAGACGAGGAAAAAAATATTGATCCATTAAAATATCCCAATATCTTCATATGCTGATATATTGCCATTTAAAAACACCATATCAATCTCTTTTACTAATGAAATATTGCTATATGTCATCGTTATGCTACGAAATCCCCAGAAAATTCACGAAATGTTGCCATATTTTTATATGTTGATATATTGACGCGGTATCGATCTATTTTACAACAAAATCTCACAAGAATTTGCAAAATATCACGAGAGTTTGTAACAGAACGAGGAAATTTCATGAGATTTTGAAAGTAAAATGGATCGATACCGCGTTTTTAAAAATCTATTTGATATCAGCATATGAAAATTATTTGAGTATATTATTTTTCAAAGTTTCAGAAATGGATAACAAAACTGCTATTTTCAATGACTACTTTGTCCAGCTTTAACATCGGTATCGATATTGGTTATCGGCAACATGAGTTTTAAAATATCGGCATATCGGATATCGGCCAAAATCCAAATATCGTGCATCCCTACCATTAAACAGTATATAGTGATTAATGGGGTGTGCCACACTGCAGTTGTTCAGTTGCATATTTCGTATATTTTGCCTCAGGTCTCCCAGAAAGATCAAGCCGAGCAGGAGCTGGAGAGGACCATCATGGCAGTCTTCGTCTTCAGAGAGAATTCAAGCCTTCTACAGCAGCCCGAAGACGTTGGGATTGTCATTGATGGTGTGGAAGTCCTCAATGAGCGTCCTTCTGTTGCAGCCGGAGTGGCAATGCTCTTTGGACTTTGCTATGCTCTTAACATGAAGTATCCACAGGGTTTCAGGTTCACCTTTGAGGCCCTTCAGAAGATCCTGATGGAGCTTGGTTCCAACAAGATGACTTCCAAGATTCGCAAACTCAGTGGTGAACTCAAAACTGCACAGTAGTGTATATTTGTGTGTGCTCAATGTGTGCATGTAGTTGCCACTGGCATCTATTTAAGAGGTAGACCACCTCACAGCACTTTGTTATACAGGCTCACGGGGTCACTTTCATGGAGTGCTTTTGTTGGAATTTTAGTTCTTTCATGATGTTTAGAGATGCAACATTCCTTCAAGTTCAGATGTGTTTGAACAGTTCAACAGTGGATGCTTTCTGTCCATTTAATTTTGCTTGATAAGCCATATTTTCTTTATTTAATTGCTCTGATGTAGAGCAACAATGACATGTTTATATTTTTGTCTGAACATGCAACTTTTTTTTGGTCCTTTTTTACTTGAGGAATAAATGGCTTAGAAAAAAACTAATGCTGTAGTGTGTTAAGTGTGATGTGAGTGATGCAAATTGTTTATGAAACCATGTTTATAAAATATGAAAGAAAAAAAAAGACTTTCATGGTGCCAATGAATTAACTGGTGTTAATGCCTGAATATTAGTTTGGTGCAAGGTATACATATTTGATGGGTTCAATTTTAATATATTAATTTGGTTCCAAAACTAAAATGTAAATAATTTAACTTGGATAAAGGTGAAGAATTAATATTGGGTCAAGTAAAGTAATATGGTTGGAGTCAATATTAAATAGTCATGTTGTACCAAACCACTTTATTTAGATTCTGTGAAGTCAAATATATTAGATGCAACAAATGGTAATCAATTTTTTTAATTTAAGCTGGGCCACACTTTTTCCAGTGTTGAGAAGCTTGTTGACAAGTTCCTTTTGTATCTCTGATTATTTCTGTATCTCTGCTTCTGTCTCCTTGAACCCCAGTCGGCCTCAGCAGATGGCCGCTCACACTGAGTCTGGTTCTGCTGGAGGTTTCCTCCTGTTAAAAGGGAGTTTTTCCTCTCCACTGTCACTACAAGCATGCTTAGTGTGAGGGATTGCTGAAAAGTCAATGAGTCGATGCAATCAGCTGGTTTTCCTTAGCAAACTTTTAATCAGTTTGACTGTATGATGAGGTTGAATTGTAAAGTTGTTGGCGCTATATAAATAAACTGAATTAAATTGAACATGTTAAAGAAGAAGGATTGAGAGTTTAATCAAACTCAGAGTCAAACACCAATTAGCACATTTGAATTGACATCTGTTAGTTAGTTCACGGCTTGGATTTCATATCTGAAATTTCAGATATTAAACCAAACATTTCAAGGTTAACATAAATGAAAGAGACTCTCAGCAATAATAGAAAAAAAAAGAAACATCCGGAACTTCTCAGAAGGAAAACGTCTGATTCTGCGTTCGGGTTTCAAGCGTGACTCATCAAAGGCGTCACTTCAGACGACGGAGGCTTTCTGCTGCTGCATGCAGCAAACGACTCGACTTAACGACGCGTTTGATGACGAAGGTTTGCTGCAGAATGGCTGCAAAGAAGCTATTTCTATTCCTGCATTTTTGTCCCAAACATGACTTCAGAAACATTTCCTCGGCTGATGTGACAGAAACGTTGAACCCCTGAAGCTTCGGATTCAGTCCGAGGTTCGCTCTTTCTTACTGTCCAGGAAAAATAAATCACTTTTCATCTTCCCTGCTGTCTGTTTTATTAATGCCTTTCATGTAAGCAACAAGCAGAGCTGCATTCAGGAACGTCATCAACATTCTGTGAAAATTTCCTGTGCTGGGAATCGCAGACTTATTTCAACCAGGGTCAACGTCCGATTAAATAAATAAGTAAAAAAACTGCAAAGAAACAAGTTGGGGAGGGGAAACATTAAGTGGCAGATGAAACAGGCTCACTACTACTAACAGAGGAATTATTAGCAGTAACATTTGTTCACCTCTCCTGACATCACGCTACGTTTGGATGATTTAAAATGAAAAACATGCAGCCTTTCATTCAGCTGTTAGTCACCATATTATCTGAATGCTAATTTCTCGTTCAAGCCTTCCTTTCTTGTCTGATTACTACCTTTATCATTTTTATTAAAGGCTTTTTTTACAGGAAACTAATAGAAATGTTTTATTCTTATTTCTCATCTGGATAAATCCTCCATTTATCCAGAGCTTCTATGACGATTGTTATTCCCTGTCAGATGTTACGGCTGTCAAGGACTTTTCCTTTATCAGCCAATATGATTGAAAATATGTGGGGGAGGGGGGCTTATTCTGTTTGATTTTACTATAGGTGATCAGATTTGTTCAGATCTGTGTTTTTAAAGGAAAAGTCCGGTCAGCAAGGAATAATCAAGGGATCAGTATTTATACCTAAAACTAATACGTTTGCGGTGATTTAATGAATTTAGCGTTAATCAGTAAAAAAATAAAAATGGGTCTGGTCTGGGTGCGGCCATTTTTTCCCCAAATATAGTAACACCTCACTCCTGCCATCTTCCAGCAGTGACGTCACAGTGCGGTAAGCCTGGCGCCATTCTCCCCGCTTTACAAGCAAAATCAATGGGAACTACTAGACACATACTTAAAGTACTTTCAGAAGTTTGAATTCTGAATATGACTGGACTTTTCCTTTAAATCTCTTATTTAGAAGGAGGGATTTATCCCTCCATCTGACCAAGTTAAAGAGAAAAAGCTTGATTTTCTAAATGCATCATATGAAGAATCAGAATTAAGGTAGACATTTATTGTAGATCTTTAAAGAAACGGTTAAAATTGACCAAACCAGAAGGTGTGTGCAAAGGTGTAGCGGGTTTGTCCCAGAGTGAGTCTCTGTTCCACCATGTAGAAGGTTCAGGAAGATCAACATGATGCATACTCAGCAAAGCAGCTAAACAGGACAGAGAGCTGAAGAAGAGTGTCGTACCTCCATGGTCTGAGACTGGTGCATGGCTTTGATTGCATTCTGTGCCATGGCTCTGGTGGAAAACGTGACAAACGCACAACCTGTAAGGAGGGGGGGGAGGGATGGAAGGACAGTGGAAGGGAGGAGGGGGAAGGCAGAGGGCGGGAGGAAGAGGAGGAGGAAGACAAGAAAGAACAAAAACAAGACAAAGGGTTGGACACGTCGTCGTTATAAAAAGAAAAACAGATTGATACAGAGAACATCTCACAGGTGGACAACATCGTTTTCAGTGGCTGGAAAAACGAGCATCATGACATCACATCCTGTCCCCCCCCCTCCCAACAGGCTGGCCCTCCTCAGCCCCTGTCTACTCCTAGCCTCTCCTGAAATAATAAGCTCCCTGAGCCAACATTTTCTCTTCTGTTTGACGGGGACGGAAGCTGCAGCAGCGGCGGGATGCAGCGACAGAGCTGCAGGGAATCTCATCAATTCAATCCTCTTATAGATGAGCGGAGGAAGGAGACGGGAGGAGGTGTGGCCTTCCTCCTCCGTGATCATGGCGCGCTTTAGCCAATCAAGACGTCCGACTGCAGGGCGGCGTGTTTTCTGGCTGGTTAGGGAGCCGTTACAGGAGATAATGTGAGCAGTGCTTCAGAAACACCCCAGGCTAATAACATGCTAACACATTCAGTGGGGTGTGTTAGCGCAACCAGGCCTGAAACCATCACACACACACACTGGGTTCAGGCCCTGCCTTAGCTTCTGAGGATCCAGACCAGAACCAGGTAGACTCTCCCCTCAGGATAAAAGGACAGATGTGATCCATGTCCTCCTCCATCAGAACTGCACAGCAGCAGAACTCTTCCTGTTTTACAAACAGTGTGAAGGTTTTTGGTATGATGCTCTCTGAAGTATTTTTGTTTGTATTTCGGGTGCTTTTATTGGATCAGATCTTTACAGCCAACAGCTTCTTACAAAGAACCAATCAAAACGTGAGGCTGCAGTGAATTGTCCGACGGAGGATCGTTAGAAGGTAAAGATCCAGGTCTTCTGCTGGAGGCTACTGCTCTCTGCAACCTATAAGCAGCCATCTTTGTCAGGTCTTTTACTCCAAGATTTAACTCAATCTAGCTTGTCTGTTCATGCTATAGAAATGACCCCCACAGCATCAGGCTGCCACCTCCGTGTATCCCCATGGCAACATGCTAATCCACATAGTTTATTGAGTGGAACAAACTGCTCATTTTGGTTTCCTCCTCTCAAATGTTTTGTCTTTAAACTGGATTAATTCCAGCTGATTTTAAACCCTGAAAACTCCCTTATTAACGGTTGAATGGTTGGACTTGATTATGACGCCCCAAAATGTAATCATATTTCAGGGATTTTTTTTTAACGGTTTTACTAAAACTGAAAAATGGATGCAATAAAGACGGAGAATGAATGTGTGTGAAATCAGAAGTCTGCTTTTGTCTGTTTTTAATTTAACCTTTTTCTCTTTTAGAGTTTCATCCTGTAACCTCTCCCCCGCCAGCTGTGAACATCTGCCTCAGTCGCCTCTCTCGGCGGATATTTCTCTCCTCAGACTTCCGAACTGTCCTTGATTCGCTAGTCTTTTCTTCCATTTCACATCCTTCCGACTGGATTGTCAGAGTTTATCACACTTGTGCTGAGCTCCTTTAAACGTTGGAGTGCAGTAAGATGAGAGGCCTGAAGGTTATTGGATTCTGCAGTACCGACCCAGTAAATGCAGCAAAATGCAAGGTTGTTTGAAAAGAGGTCATTCTATCAAACCATTCAGGGGCTGCCTGTTTTTTAGACATGCATCATTTAACAGCTTCTCTTCAAGGAGGCAGCAGAGTTCTGCAGATTTAGGTTAGGTCTCCAGGCTAGCTCTGAGGGTCGAAGCATGAGAGGCAGACACATTTTGGGGAAGAGGCAATAATTCAGACCGTTAATCATCGAATATGGCCTGAGATCATATTGTCCTGAGACAGGGAGCTGATCAAAAACTCAGCCGACTCACAGCAGTAATTAAGCAAGGAGATCCTTGAAGGCAGTTTCTGACGTCCATTAGTCCGGAGGTCCAGTTCTAAGGCTTTGGGCCAAAACAGAACCACAGTCAGAACCACCATCCACCACTGGAGAAAACAAGGACCAGTTGCGAACCTTCTAGAACTACTCAAAGAAAGATCCAGAACATTTAAAGCCCTGCAGGCCTCACTACCTCACTTAAGGTCAAAGGTCGTGATTCAACAACAGGGAAAAAATATGGCTACAGCTCTGACCCAGACCCAAGGTCTCTCTCACTTTCACCAAAGATATGACCTTCCTGCAAGGTTGGAAGTTCCGGAACAACAGGAGTGAAGCTAAGAGAACACAACCAGATCTTTATCCAAACACGGTGGTGGTAGAATGGTGGGTTTGCTGCTTCTGGACCTGGAAGACCTGCTGAAACCGTTGGAACCATCATCATTCTATTTAAAGGAGCTATCAGTGAAATGTCAGCGCTAGGTGGCGCTGTGGTTCACTGTAGACCAAAACAAGATGCGCGACAAGCGATGTTGTGTGATGTCACACCTAAAGGGCTGTGTGAAACTCCCGCAGCAGTGTGTCGCAGTTAGCTTGTAGCAGGTATTTTGGTTTTATGTCCAATTTTGAAGCTCGGCTGTGCAATGTTATTCCACGCTACGACGCAAGAGGGAAAATAACAAGCTAGTTAGGACTGTGGGTGTCAATGTGTCGGTTTGACAAGATTGCTCGCTGTCCACAACCCCTCATCCAACAACAGATGACAAACAGTTCACCAGTGAGTGTTCCCCAAAGACTGGCCGTGGCGCTGCGTGTTTTGGCTTCATGTGCAAACCACTAGACCGTTGCACAGCGCTACAAAATAGCACCCTGTACGGTGTCTGGGACAGTTTCTGAGGTGTGCAGGCGTTCTGAATGGCACAACAGCCAGAGGCTGTTTCTCAATATGTGTACTTGTGGGTTCTCATGTGCTTGTGTACTCGTGAAACGTCATCAGCTTCAGCCCTAGTACTGTTACAATTCACAAGAACAAGACCAAGAACAGATAAAGTCCCCGGATGTTGTTCTCGCCCCTCCCTCTTTACCCATAATGCATCAGAGCAGACTTGTCCGTTCTTGAGATTGACAGCTGTCCCAGCATGCACTGCAGCAGCAGCTTCCAGGTGAGAGCTCACAGAGCTCAGAGTATTAAGTTAAAAGTTCTCTTTTCTGTTGCCGTTGTTCAATAAAAGTACCTTTAAAGATTATTTGAGGCAAGAACATTATACTTTTAAGCGTCACAATATGGCCAATTTACTGATTTAATGCGTAATTTAACAAAACATTTCCGAAGTTGAGAGGACCGCGGCAACCAGCGGACCTCTGAGGCTAATGGCAGCCAGGGCTAACGTTAGCCCGTCTGCAGCAGCCCTCTCTCTGCATAGCCGTATGTGAAGTACCGCTGGCTCTGATGGCGATTTTTTTTTTGGTTTTATTTGGCAAAATGTTAATTTGATTTGTGTTTATCTGACTGTGTTCATTATTATTCCCCCACTAAATGAAAAAAGTCAGAATTTATTATTATCTAGAGGCTATTCATAACAGGAGGTGAAATGCAGCTTCAGGCGAGCCGAGCGTGTGGTGATGTCATCAGTACGCTTCCGTTCCTATTGACCCATATCATGGGTCAATAGGGGAGCACCCATGCTGCGTGCTCCCGTTCTCCCAGAGTCCACACTTTCCTGTGTTCTTGTCAAGAACATACTTGGCGAGGACACGAGTCTGTACTTGCGTTCTTCTGAATTAAGAAATGACCAAAGTTTATGCCATTAGGTATCAAACAGCATAGCGTAGGGTGGATGTAGAATTGTCCAATCAGAGGCCTCCTGTCTGCATCTACAATTTTAGGGAGGTGCACCAGAGTGTCTGGGAAGGGATGGGGGCATATCTGCGTTAACTGCGACACACAAAGACGACCTGGTTTCAGAGCATAAACCAGGCTAAAGAAGATACCTTCAGGTCTTCATATCACTTTCCTCCCAATACCTGAATGAATTATGGGATGGAACATCAGGTTCTGGAGGGTCAGGGATCAGGTTGCCTTTCCCTCATTACCTCAAATCACCTTTTAAGAACTGCTCTGACATTAACATCACTTTGATGACAGGAAACTGCTGATATTCTGATGGTTCCTCACCGTCTTTATCCTCCTGAAGCTGGATTCATTCACTGCCTGGGTATGTAGTAAAGCATATGCTAACTTCCTGACTGCTAGGCGTGTTTCTGCAGAGATGGGACATGGCTTGATCGCTAAAAATACCTCGTGGGCCGCATTCTGTCGTCAGCGGAGAACCGCACAGTCCTTTAATGAAAGTAGGGTAGCTCCCCAGGCCCAGCCATCCACTGGTGGTGTGATCCATATTTTATTAATAGCCTAGCGTTCGTCTGATTGATACTGTAGCTTTAAAGTGAGTTCTGCAGCACAGCTAGGTGGGACTGGGGGCCGCTGAGAGCTACCAGCACACAAATCCTTCAAGACCTATTTATTTTCAACCTGATTAGAGGCGTTTATAGACCAGCCAGGTTTTGTCTGAGACTTGTGTCAGCTGCTAAGTGGCTTATATCAGCTCTACAGAAACCAGGATTCGGCCATCAGGTTTGAAATATTTATGAGGACAAAAGAGAGGAGCTGAAAAGGGATGGAAGACAGAAGCAAGGAAAGGGAGAGAAGGAAGCCGAGGAGGGATGTCTGAGAAAAAGACAAATTGATTCAATAGTGAATTCTGGGACAGCCAGTGTGAATTTATAGAAGGGTGGTGCCGTTAGTTTCAGCCAAAAACGGATCTGTTGTTAAAACAACCTTGAGGAGACAGAAAGAAAAAAGCCACATTCAGAATAAAAGGGACTTGAGTCGATGGTAAAACATTCGAAACGTTCAACAAGCACAGAAGAAAGCATGTGACCGACAGCTGGACATGGATCCTGTGACAGCGACAGCTCGGGGGACGAGGGGAGAGTTTTACCTCCTCAGCACACGGGGCCACAGAGGGGGAGGAGAGGGAGGGGCATGGCTGAGATCAGGTGGGAGGAAATGCTTATGGGATGGAGTGATCAATGAGGGAAACACTTCTTGTTTCTACGGTTTCACTGGAACGCCTGTTCGCTGGAACGCCGGTCCCTTTAAATGGAAAAATACACCTGTGAGCCTCAGATTCGCTTCTGTGGAGGCCAGCTGTGAACAAGTGGCTGGATCCTTCCTACCATTGCCTGAGCGGGGGGCGGGGGTGGGGTGGGGTTGCAAACATGCCTTATCGTCATCAGAGGGAATATTAAAGCAGAGATGAGTTAAGATGACATCCTGCAACCAGACAGTGCCACATCTCCACCCTTAGAGACGACTCTACCCTCCAGGGCATTACTGACCGATTAATGCATACGCTCTACGGTTTTTAGCCCTTTTCAGGCCGATTTTCCAGTCGTGAGAGAATTTTTTTACTTTTTACCTACTGATAACAGCAAATAAAGCTGCCATTGTTCCAGGCAAAGTAAGGAAAGGGTAGTTCCGCCCAACGCGCATCAGGCCCACTTTTTGACCGTGCAGCTACAGCAGCAAAGATCCGTCAACCTTGCATCAGAGCTAAACTTGTACAAGCATCAAAAATGAATCAGCACTCCTGCCGCTTGCGTTCTGAACGTAGCATCAGAGAGATCAATTAGAACCAGTTCAGACTGGATGAGCGATACGGACCAGCTCAGCTCAGCTGAAATATTAGGTACCGCCCGAGTGATTAGACATGTTGTTAACGAGACAGGTGGTGTTTTTGAATCTACCCTGCAGCACTTCCTCACAGCGCCACATGTCCCAAATAAAATGGTGGAGGAAGCTCCTTCTGACGTTCAGATTAGAGTTTGAGATGTTGTCACACTGGAAGTCTTGATCTGATTTCTTTAGGTTTTATTGTTCTGCAGCTTTGGTCCAGCGAAGCCTTCCTCACAGAATCACAGAATCCTTCCAGAAAGTAAAGGTCTGATGACTGGAGCCTGAATAATAACCCTAACAGCATCTGATTGTTTATTTATTTAGAAAAACTACAAAAAAAATGTGTGTTAGTGTTTTAAACTGGAACAGTTCAACATTATTTTGGAGTATTGGTTTGATTTATGTAAAAAATAATGATGAAATTCACTTTTCTACTTCAAAACAACAACAAAACAATCTGTTTTCCTAGAATGCAGACAAAAAAAAGGTTGATGATGAGCTGGACATTGAAAGTGTCTGAGGGTGGGAGTGAAGAGCTTCATACTGACTTCCAGTGGGGTTCAACTGGAAGGGGAACAATGAGGATGGCAGTGGGAGGGTCGGGGGGAGAGGGGGGAAGGAAGGGGTGAGGGACGAGGTGGAGAAAGTAAGGAGAGAAAAAAAGAAAGTGGTGGGGAAAAGAGATACCCAGCGAGACAAGGAAGCAGCAAATGTGTGAGAGCGAGCAGGAGAGACGTGGCTCCAGTTCTGCAGCGGGTCGGAAACCGGATCTGAGACAATGTTCCTGTGAAGGTGGGCGCCAGGTCACAGCGCTGCATATGTTGGTCAGCCATCACTTCCTGTTCTACGGGTTTATTGGCTTAAAAGATATTTGTCCAGAGATACAAACCAGTAAAAAAAAAAAAAATTGCAATAATCGCATCTGACCAGTAGGAGGCAGCAAAGTTAGCATGAACTAAATGCAGAAACTGGAGGGGAAAAAAAAGAGGAAAAAGACTAAAAACAGTGAAAAGGTTCTTTTTTATATCAGCACAGGAAAAAGAATATGAAGAAAACGGATTAGGCTCATTCAAGGGTTCTGGTTCTGTTCTTTTTTTTAATTTAATCAGTGTTAAAGGGTTAAATCTGCTTCACTGAGGATCATTTCCAGCAGACATCCTCAGGTTTTTACTGTGATTTTTTCATGTTCGTTCCTCTGGGTTCTGCAGCTCGTTTCAACAACGAAGCAGGGGTTCCATAAAAGTTAACAAACAATCCAATTGACTTTGTTTTTAAGTTTGAAGATGTTTTGCTTCGCATGTAGGGACTTCAAAATGTCAGCAATAGCGTTGAGTTCCAGGCTTTATAGAGTGGACCAAAAACAAAGCCTTGTTTTGGCTTAGAAAACATCTAAATTGCACCTGACAAACGGGTCAGTCCCTTTGGAATGGGGGTCATTTTGTTTCTTTGGCAACATTCACACCGCAGCCTGAAGTGAACCAGATCCGATTTTTTTTGCCCGTATGCGACCTGGATCCGATCTTTTCATGGAAGATCCGACTTTTTCCAATGCGACCCAGGCCACTTGCTATGTGGTCCTGAATCCGATACGAATCTGATCTTTTCAAATGCGACCTTTGTCTGAACGGCCAGGTCGCATTCATCCGACCTGAACGCCATTAGTAACCGACATAGGTCACTATTATGCGTACGGAGAAGCGACAAGAAAAACAACAGCCATGGCAGACGATGATGCGGAGAGCAGTAGTTATGTTTAAACATATTGAAAAGATTGAGTTTTTAATGGTTGGAAAAGGCCGCTAGATGCTTACTTCCGGAAAAAAAGAGCATGCTGGCCTGTGACGTCATTGCGTCCTCTACTGCGCATGCGGGACACTCGCGTTGTATGACTACAGTTCCCACAGGATATCACATACAAGTCGCATATATTTGGAATTATGAACGGCAACGCGAAAAAATCAGATCTCACAAAAAAATCGGAATTGAGCATCAAGGCCTGCAGTGTGAATGTAGCCTTTGTTAGCCTGCACCCGAGACCTGTCTATGTCTCTGAAAGGGGGGCCGTTAAAGGGAATTGTTGGCCTAGCTGAATAGGCGAGGTCTTCTGTTCCCCTGTAAAGGGGTTGGGATTGATAGCGGGAAGGGATCAACTCAATCACTGAATTGTCCACCCGTTCTGTTGGATGGCTTCCTTCACACCCCTCTCAAACCACCTATCTTCTTTGTCCAAAATGTGAACATTCTGGTCCTCAAAAGAATGTCCTTTTTTGGGGGGGGGGGGAACTAAAAAAGCTTCCTAGGTGGGAAGCGAAATGTCTTCAAACTCAAAAGAAAAGACCAGTGGATTTTTTTTTTTACTTTTCTGGAATGAACCAATCGTTCTCACTGATGTGTTTGTCTCTTCCATAAAGAGCAGAGCTGTGGTGTGAATGCCTCTCAGCCTCCACCAGAGACGAGGGTCTCTGCAGCTCCTCCCCAGTAATAATTAAGTCTGAAAGGATAAAATTCACCCGATTATTTAAAATTTCCTTACTTTTTTCTTCCTCAGCCAGTGAAGTGCAAGTATATCTTGCACTTTAATCAGAAAGCATCTGGATGTTTCTACTTTGTTTTATGTAAACAACATTAAGTAATGAATCTGTAATCCGCACTCAGATCTACTGGAAACAAGGCTTTGGTCCTGTCATGAAGGACTGAAGACAATAGACTGGGGATGCATGCTTGGCAATATGGCAGAGTTAGTGTTACTTTACAAATAAGGAGACACAGAGAAGACTATGGTCCTCCTTTTCTCTGATCATTGCTTTCTTAGTCCAGCGGTTCATTCTAGACGGACCTCATTGTCTTAGGATGTTTGATTGATCAGAGCTCTGGGAAACCTTCAAGTGTTATAGAAATATTTAGTTTGTGTATTTTATCCCTAACCGTCCAGCTGTGGGGAAAACTGTCCTGTTTAACTCCTCCTATACGGAACAGTGAGCAACTAGCAGCTCCCACGGAGCATCCAGGGGTTAAAGGTCATTTCTAGGGCAACCAGAGGGGCCGCTCTGGTTCTAAAGACTTCATTCACACTGGGATCCTGAAGTGTTCTGCTGGTTTAGAGCATCTAGTTAATGAAGATGGTTGTGGATGCCCAGTTGGAGCTTCTGCACTTCTGGTTTCAGGCTAAGGTTTTTTTGTCCTTCATGTGGATTTTCTCCTGGTTAAATCTGCCATTAGATGTTATTTAGGATGCATGATGGATCTAAAGTCAATTAGAGGCGTAGAGAAGAGAGGAATTATTCTGATGGATCGGTCAGAGATGGTCATTACCATCATTTATTCCTCAGATGTTCAACAATAACAGATGAAAAAAATCAAAGTTTATGCTTAAAATTAAACATGTCTAGTCAAATTTCAGACTGTGGTAATCTGGATCAGATTAATTTTAGGGCTGAATGAAGCTGTAAGTAGGGATGTCATTAATCAACCTTCCAATCCCGGTCTCCATTGTCTCAGAGCCGGTTTTCACTTCCTCTCACCAACCAGCTGCAGCTGCTGGAGGACGTTCAGCCAGTTTCTGACTGCAGGAGGAGCAAAATCTGTGGATGGGAGCGAGTCAGAGCGGCGGGTACCTCTGCTGAGCCCGTCGGGCCCCCGGAGGATCCGGCACTCCTCGATCTGTCCGAACGCAGAGAACATGACCCGGATGTCGTTCTCGTTGCACTTCTTGGAAACCATGCCGATGAACAGCTTCCTGTCTTCCACAGCTGGAAGGAGAAGAGCAGAGACATGGATTAGGACACGATGTGGGTTAGTGGACAAGTTAAAGGAGGGGGGGTTAAAAAAACTGCCACTGTATCCAGGGGCGGATTTAGGAAATGTGGGGCCCTAGGCAAAGACAGGCAGGGGGCCCTCTGAATTGAGAAGAAAAAAACATAAAACATCCCTATTATAGAGATGCAGAAGTTTTAATAGAATAGACATCCATTATTAGTTCTAGGTTTTATCCCTCTCTTCTTATTGTTTTCCTCTCTATGTTTTGTACTCAGCTGACTTTTCATGCTGTCTGAAAAGGAATGAAAGATTTTTTCCAAGCACTAAGCTCACTTAGCTGATTGTTTTTCCAAAAAGGCGACGGCAAAAGTAAATAACCCAGTCCTTCTTTTCACTGCAGACAAGCCATGATCTGCTTCTCTGTTCTCCATTTTTCATTTGGATGAAATAATAGCTGCATGAATCATGACAGCAGACAAGATAGAGGAGAGCAGGAGGCGGGGTTACCAATCTACTTGCTCTGGAGAGCAGAGTTCGCTGCTTTTAGACATTGTCGCCAAAGTCTCCAATAGCAGAAAAAAGTTGCTAGATTTGGCGCTAGGCGCTTTTTCAAAATAAAAGTTCTAGAGGGGTCTGAAAAGCCGCTAAATAAAGCGACTAAAGCGCTAAGTTGGCAACACTGCTCTTCGCATCGTTTGTTTTCAAATGGTTTGCTGCTGTCTGTTTGGACCTTTCTGAACATGTGCAGCAAATGGACTGATCCAATATGGTGGACACTGAAGGGGGGGCTGAGACACACTTAATATTATAAGCGTTCTGATGGCATTTTAGCAAAAGGAATAGTTGTATTAACTATACATGTAAAAAGAGTTTTATGGGGCCCCCAGGAACTTGGGGCCAGAGGCAACTGCCTAGTATTGCCTAATGGTGAATCCCCCCCAACTGTATCATCTGTTACAGTAGCAGCTTTTTGCTGCATCTTCATCTCCAACGGCTGAAACAGTGACGCATTTACTCTATGTAAACCTGACAGTAACCCGTTAGAACCAGGTCAGAACTCAGAACAAATAAAAGTGCTTGAAACCAAATTTGAGAAATAAACAAGAGAAACAGACTTCCTGTGCATCACCCAGTCCCTCCTCTTCGTCTTGAACCCCCCCCCCCCGGTGCTGCCCGGTAGCGGGGCATCAGGGCTCAGCGTCCACGCCTTCATACAGCATTCAGCGTAAGGTTAATCCAATTCATTTTTAATGAGGAAACTGTCAGCTCTTTCCGCGAGGCCGAGCAGATAAGCGCTCCGTTGCTCTCTGGGAAATCAATAGTGCACTTGTTTATTTTGCTGTTTGAATCGTTTGTGTGTTTAAGGAAAAAAAAACAAACAAAAAAAACAGAAGCAACAACAAACCGCCGGGATTGGCTGTCGAGATAAGAGGCGCTTCAAAAGGCTCTAACTGCTCCGTAGGCAGCGTGTTGGTGTGTGTGCTCATCACTCCAGAGGTGATTAGCACGAGTCTAACAGCAGCGTAATTAATTTACTCTGCGTCGATAGAGAGGAAGGAGAGCAGATATCCTCACAACTGGCTGTTTCTGTTTTCGGTGGGAGGCGTGCCGGCAGGCGGCGAGGCGATAAGGACCCATGAAGACCCAGGGAGCGTTGCATTGTGGGATACAGCAGAGGAACGGGCTGGTTTGAACACATCAAGGGACTAAACTAGAACCACCAAACCTTTAGGGGGGGAAAAGAAAAAAAAAGTCTTTCTCCTCTTTCCCACGTCCTCCGCTGACTAAACTGATAAAGCTGGCGGCAGCCGTTCGTCACTCTGAAAGCAGATCTAACAGCGGGTTTATTAAAGGTCGTTACCGTTTAATGGATGGATACGTGTCCCTCGTCAGGCTCCATATTTCACCCTTCCAGCTGTGAGCCGGAGCGTCTTTATTGAGTTCCAGCGTCCTCGCCCCGACGGTTATGTCTTATAAAGTCACATTTGGCCATATTTCAGTGGAGCGGATGATGGCTTTTCTACGGTTTCCTTTTTTTTTGGGGTTTTTTCTGCAGAACATGGGGGATCCTGATGCCTCTCCTCCGCCAGATAAAAACTCATGTTAAGTTGTGCTGAGGCCCCCAGGATTAAAACGGCCCCCTTTTATTTCCAGTTATGATTTTACAGCATCTATTATCACGTTCTGCTCAATTACTCCGCTTTAAGGGTTATTTCATCAAAATTACAGAAGCTCCCATTTTCTGCTCTTACCCATGCAAATAAATCGGCTTTAATTTGCCAAAACTTCTGCTTTCTGTCACTGATATCTATATTCAGCCCCAATAAGTTAATAAGGGGTCTGCTGTTTATCCAACCAGAGTAATCATGCATCTGTTCTAGTAAAGTTTGCCCTTATTATTCTTTTAAACTCTGGGCACATTAAAATGAAAAATTCTCTGTCATTTCTGAGCAGCAGCAGGATACAGATCAGAAACACTAAATTCTGCATCTACAGCCTCTCTTACTATTATATGCAGAGAATATTCCTCTTTATATTTTGTAAGCGTTTAACCATCGACCTCTAAACTCACTGAGACGGTTTGTCCATAATATCAATGAGCAGACGGCTCAGAATCTCTGGCTCTGGGTCAATCTGCTTTGGTCCTGATGTAGAGATCAGCATCTGCTAGACTCCATGAAGATAAAGACCACAAAACGTAAGAGGAACCTTTTTAGGTAGGAACCATGTAGAACCTTCAGAACCAAACCAGGTGAGGCAGCATCTTCAGAACTGGAACAACCTGCTTGAAATTCCAAAAAAAGTTTTATTTTGGAATTTGTTTGTCCTTCTTGTGGATTTTCTCCTGGTTAAATCTGCCATTAGATGTTATTTAGGATGAAATATGGATCTAAAGTCAATTAGAGTTTGGACGTTTTTTTCGTCGTATTTCGTCGTATTTTTACGTCTTGCCTGGAGACAAGATATCCTTGCGCATGCGCATCTTACGCACCATTCACTAACATAGAATTTAACATACAATTAACCCTAACCCTGACCCTAACCCTAAGATACAAAACAGCAAGCAACCTAGTTAGAGACATCAAGAAGTGATTATTGCACTGTTTTTCCCAGTTTTACGTCCGTCCGCGGATCTGCTTTTCTCGTCTGTCTGCCTGCGCATGCGCAAAGATCTGTTTTTTCGAGGAAAAACGTCCAAAACGTACGAAATACTGTGCAGAACTTTTCGTACGATTTCATACGAACTGATAATGAGAATATGTTGCGAGGAATTATTCTGATGGATCGGTCAGAGATGGTCATTAGCATCATTTATCCCTCAGATGTTCAAAAATAACAGATAAAAAAAATTGTCTCCATTGATATAAAAGTTTCAGGCAGTTTATGTTTATAGAAAATGAAACAGGTTTAGTCAAATTTTAGATTCAGATTTAATGACTGTGGTAATCTGGATCAGATTAATTTTAGGGCTGAATGAAGCTGTAAGTAGGGATGCCATTAATCAACCTTTAGATCCCAGGAAGTCAGAAAGCAGACTGGAGATTGTTTCCAAGTTTGAAGACGTTACGCTTCCCATCCAGGAAGCTTTTTCAAGTAAAAATGTCAGAAATAGAGTTGAGTTTAAGGTTTTGTGGACCTAAAACAAACCCTTAGCAAAAAGTAGTATACTTGAAGTAAATTCTATTAAGAATACTTAAGTATAAGATTAAGTGTAGAAAGTAAATCGAACACGGTACTTTTTGTGTACTTGAAGTATTACTAAAGTAATACTTCTATGAACTAAATTCAAGTGCACTTGACTATCCTGTTGTTAAGTATATGAAATATAGTTTAGAATACGTAAACTCTAAGTGCACTGCTTGATTTTAAGTATGAAATTAGTGCACTTTAAGTATGCTTGAATAAACTACTTTTTGCTAAGGGAAGCCTTGTTTTGGCTTAGAAAACATGCGAATTGAAGCCAGGCTAAGCTAAAACAAGGCTTTGTTTTAGGTCGAATCCATAAAGCCAGGAACTCAACACTGTTTCTGATATTTTAAGTTGAAAAAGCTTCCTGGATGGGAAGAGTGGTCTAAATTATTGAGATAAAATGCATTTTTTTAGTTATTAACAGACAATGACAGACCCCTTCCCCAAAGGGAGCTCCTGCTAGCCCCAACAGGTGGGGCTAGCCTTAGCTACAGTACAGCTTCATGTTTCATTGAGCAAAAGACTCAATGGAGGAATCTTATCATTTATCACACCAAGTGTTCAAAGAGAACAATGTTGGAACAAAAAATGTCATTTTTAACCACTTTTCCCAAAATACGCATTGTTTTTATCAGTTAGCTGCTGTGCGAATAGCCTAGCTTATGATAATTTAAGCTAAAGCTATGTATGGTAGAGCAATAGCAGGAGGAGGGAAATAGATTTATGGCCACAGTCTAAATTTTATTTTCTAAATTTTTATCAGCTCTTTGCATTTAGAAGTCAACAAAAATTTTTCCTTTTTTCTTAAATATGAAATATATTTCAATCTATTTCATAAATATTATTGAACTGGAACCTGAGTATAAAGTTTCACAGCAAAAACAAAAGAATATGAACTGGTATGATAAAAAAAAATCGTTTCTTGCCAATTAGTTGTATTATCTTGTTTAATTTTGGCTTAATGACACTTTATTGAAATAATACTTCTGTTTGATGTTGGATTATTCTTGAAGATTTCATGTTGTTGTTATGACGGTGACTGACTGGGAGCTGGTCTGCCTGGCAGGGTGCAAGAACCAGTGGTACTTTCTACCTGATACAAATGATGGCAGTTTTGGTTGGAAAAACATGAATACAGGTAAAACATGGACCAGTAAAGAACATTAACGAACACGCCGAGGGCTCAACCCTACGAGGAAAGCAACAAAGAGCAGAAACAGAAAGAGTTTTTTCCCCCCTGCCCCTCATTTGGTTTGCATTTTTCTTTCATTCTGAAATCATTATTTTTAATAACTACTCTGTATTTTGTCTTATGTAAATGCGCCATTAGTGTAGAGTCTCTTTTTGTTTTTAAATGTTTACTGAGGGGCAATAAAGATAATTTCTGTTCTATTTAAAGGATAGTACTCCCCAGCAGATAAACCGCCCGTGGACCAAATGTAGCATCTTTGTGTTAAAGCCTGACAGAAAATCAGGCTCTTGGGTTAAAATGACCCCCTTTATTTCCAGTGATGGTTTTGCAGCATCTATTATCCTGCTCTGCTCCATTACTCAGCTTTAAGGGTCATTTCCTCAAAATTAGAGAAACTCACATTTTCTCCACTTAGCCATGCAAATAAATTAGCTTTAATTGGCCAAATTTCTGCTTTCTGTCACTGATATCTATTTTTTTTTACCAATAAGTTCATAAGGGTTATAATAGTAATCATACATCTGTTCTGGTGAGGCTAGTCATGAGTTTTTCCTTTTCCCTCATTAATCAAATTCTATGTCCGAGCAGCAGAGAGACGAGGTGAAAACCGCTTTAACCAGAAGACATAAAGATGGTTGCATGTAAATACCTTTCAGTCTCATATGTTAGATGCTTTTAATCTAGAAGGTGTCTTTCGGCTCATTAGTAATAAGAATTATTGAAAGGAGAACTTGAAGGTTAAACTTGAGGCAGAAATAGGTTTGGAATCAACAGAAATAAAATTATCAGAAAAATGAGGGTTTGTTTGTTCTCTGCATCTGTTGAAGGTCTCGTTAAACCGTCGTTAATGACTTTATGATTTCCTTCCAAGAAGCCGGGGCTTCTTCAGAGTTTCTGAAGGTCTCAGAGCTTTTCAGTTGACTATTTCTGCTATTTCACTTATTTTCCCTCCTGTGTTTGTGTGACCGTGACGGCACAGCGGGCCTTGTTTGTTTAAGGACGGTGCAGGATGGAGCCCAGAAACCATTGGAGGACAGAAGATCTTCTCAGGTCGAAGAAACAGGGGATTCAGCAGAAACGTAATCCTGGATCCAGGGTGTTGCATGTGGGGCACCACAGGGTGCAGTACTGGGAACCTTCTTCTTAGAGTTAAATATTCCCAGACATTTCTTTATGCTAATGCAATTTATCTTTTTTCCTAAGCCCACTACACAACATCTATTAGAGTTGTATGTCATTAGTACCATTAAAACTATTAGTTATGATGTCTCCAAATCTGGCCTTCAAGGAAAAAACTCTTCAAAAGGACTTCTGACCCCAGAGCGAAACATGGTGGTGGCTGCATGACGCTGTGTGGATGCAGGCCACAGTTTATGGAAAATCCAGCAGGATATACCATGAATGGCTTACAGTAGATCATGGCAAATTCTTGGTTGAAATGGCCTAGTCAAAGTTCAGAATGTGTAGCAAGATTTGAAAACGGAATTTTTAAGGAGATCAGGTCTGGAGAGGATCTAAGCAGCAACTGGAACTTCTGAAAAACTATGGTTCTACTAAATTATCACCAAAACCTGAGCCTGCCTTTAACTTCTCAAGACCGTCCTCCTGCAGGGTTCCATACTTCTGATCACTGAGTTTAATTTATTCTGATTCATAGATCATTGGGTTTGCTAATGGTGTTGCTACTTCTCTGCATACTGCCTTAGACAACGAGGCTCCCATGAAAGAGAAACACTTTATAGAATAGAAAGCTGGCTCCCGGGTTTAATGCAGAGCTGCGCGCTCTGAAGCAGAATACTAGGAAACTGGAAAGAAAATGGCGCTCTACGGGAATCCTACCTAGTCTGGAAAAATAGTTTACTGCTTTATAAGATGACCATTCATAAAGCAAAAGCAGCATATTTCTCCTCATTAAAAGTGGAGATTAATATTAATCCTAGAAATCTTTTTAATTCAGTTGCCAAACTCACCCAGAGCCATAGCTCTGTTGAACCATCCATTCCACCTGCTCTTAGCAGTAATGATTTTCTGGGATTCTTTCTAAATAAGATTGATCTTATAAAAAAATAAGATCATTAGCACTCCTCTAACTACGACTGGTTTATCTCTGGAAGGTGAGGCAGCATTTGAGGTAGCCATAGAATCTGAACCGGGTTTAGACTGCTTTGATCCAGTTGAACTTTCAGAGTCAGCTAAAGTAATATCTTCATCTAAGCATTCAACTTGTATGTTAGATCCAGTTCCAACCAGGTTATTTAAGGAAGTATTCCCTTTACTCTCCTCCGTCATTTTAAATGTGATTAATATATCGCTGTTACAGGGATATGAACCTCAGCCTTTTAAGGTTGCTGAAATTAAACCTTTAATTAAGAAACCGTTTCTTGACCCAGATGACTTGGTCAATTATAGACCTATATCCAATGTAACTTTCTGATCTAAAATTCTTGAGAAAATATTTGCCAAACAAGGCTTTGAACTTTCCTTTTTGATAAGGCTTATAGTTAGAGTGGCTCAGGTTATCCTAAGCTATGTCTATATTTATGCTACTATAGGCTTAGACTGCCGGAGGACATAGGGTCTTGTGGCTGCCTTCTTGGAATAATGAGGAACTCAGGGAAATGCTCTGCGGAGGAAACCTCCTCAGAACCAGATCTGAATACATAGTTTGGGAGAGGGAAGAAGTGAACTGCCTATGTTTGTCCAAAACAGACACTGTAAGGTGTAATAGTGAGCTTTGAGGCAGCAGTTTTGTACTGGGAGCTACACTGGTTCATCATGAGGATACGACAATTCAACTTTTCACTCACCTCCTTCCAAAGGAGAAAAAAAATAGATTTATATGGAAATATCAGCATTTCAGCATCTCTGCTCCCATCTTTTCTTTCCCCATTCTCTCTGCAAGTCCAGTGAAGTAGAAGCTATAACCAAGCGAATTCAAAGATGGCCCCCCGATGCGTGTGTGTGCGACACTGTGTCCTTGTGGCCACTCACCATTAGATTTCTCACTGTCTGCAGGTTTCATCTGAATAGGGTGATGCATCTGTGGAGACAAAAGAGGGGCAGACAGAAGGAAAACATTAAATATCATCTTGACACATGCATAAATACAGAGCTGCAGAAGGCTTCAGCTCCCTCATGTGCAAATTAAATCTGAATATCATTCAGAGGCAAATGTCAATGCAAGCAAACGCTCCACTTTCTCGTAAACACTTCAGTCCGGAGGGCAGAAGGCGTGGAATCAAACGGGGTCCGCTAGAGCGATCATAAAAGCAGCTTAGAGATGCTAAAATACAAGAGGAAGAAGAAGACAAAGAGGATGATGACGGTCAAGGACACGGAGATGAAGGGCAAAAACACCCGAAGCAACAAAATGTAGAAATCAGAAAAACGATGCAGATGGAGGGCAACATAAACAACTAGCTTAGAAAGAAAACGTTCAGAAGCACAATTATCTGTTTCATTCACACAAATTATGTTAAGAGTTCAAATAATTCATTATTCTGTGGTTCATTCTGGTTTTATTTCAACCAATCAAACCTGCTGCTACTTTTTAAGGAGAATCTCTGTCTTCACCTTCAGGCCAGGAAACCACTTTTAAGCTGCGATCTGATGTTTAATCTGAAGTCTGGTTTAGTTAAGCCAGGCATACATTGTACGATTTTTTTCAGCTCATAATCCATGTTCTCACACTGTACGTTTAAAAAGCACGTGTGACACAGCTCCGCAGTTAGATGGCGCTATTCAGACTCGTCTACCTGGAAGCCAAATGAGTAGAAGAAGAATATGAAGCTCGCTAGAGTGAAACGCGCTGCCTTGGCGACTTGTGAAATGTTGTGCTGAAAGTCCTAAAAAGAAAAGACATATTTGGACATTGGACAAAGACATGGCTGAGCAAATGTGGCTACTACGGTCTGTCGATTGTATAGAAAGAACTCCATTTCACTGGAACCCCGCCATGCTGCTGGGTTTTTCATCTGAGAAGAAGAAGAATAATCATTCTTGTTTGTGCGCTGAGCTTAAGATGGTCAAGTGAATTTCAAACATGTTTGATTTTCTCCCGACCTTACGATTCCTGATCGGGAGATGGTCGTGAGAGGCTGATCGCTCCTTGTTACCCCCTGTATGCAACACGATCAGGCTGAAAGTCGGGCCAATTGAAAAATTCTCGCACGATTGGAAAAACAGCCAGAAAAAATCATACAGTGTATCCCCGGCTTACGTTAAAGTATTTCTGGTTTATTTTGTTTTAAGATGATTCTTTGAGGTCTTCTAGTTACTGGAAATCATTATTCTGCTTCTGAGCTCAATGTTTGTAACTTTATCCAAAATTTGAACGTGTTGGCCTCAAACTCGGCGTATTTATTCTGTCCAGGCTGCCGGTCAGTGAAGGAGCTTGTTTCCTTACATGATGAACAAACCTTGAATTCGTTTCTGTTTTCCTGCTCTAAGCCAAACTAAACAGCATCTGTTTGAACAGGCCTCCATCGTTTGTTCTTTAGGTTTTCTGAGAGTCTTTTCTTCAGAATAGAATTGCTTGGGCGTGCAGGTGGCACAGTGGTTGGTGTGCACGACCCATGTACGGAGGCCTTAGTCATCGATGCGGGCGACCTTTATTCGAATCCGGCCTGTGGTCCTTTCCTGCATGTCTCTCCCTCTCTCTCATACCCCCTTTCCTGTCAGCCTACTGTCGAAAAAACGAGCCACTACACTGCAAAAACGATCTAGAAATAAGTCAATTAAGTGAATTTACCCTTAATTTGAGTAGGTAAATAAGATGATTTGCGAATGAAATTTGTATCTTTACTCTTAAAATAAGATGATTAGATAATATGAACTTGAAATAAGACAATGCAATAGTTTTTTCTTATTTCAAATCTAAATTGTCTTGTTCCATTGGCAAAGTGTCTCACTTTCGTCCTCAATTCGAGAAAAAGTGTACTTATTTATGAAAAAAATACTCACTTAGATTTCCATTTTTTGCAGTGTAGTGCTGCAAAAACTCAAAAAAAAAAGAAAAAAAAGGAATAGAACTGCTTGTGTTGCTCAGTTGCAGCCTTTGCTGTTCATAAAGCTTTTCCTCATTAATGAACATCTGTGCTAAGTGACTCCTGTTAGGGGAGGAGCTTGTATAAGCCCCTCCCCTAATAGGAAGTGTCAATATTTAATTGTTCATTTTAATCAATTAATATCAATTCTAATTTGTTTTGCAGAACCGCCCATGCAGGTCCGTCTTAGTTTGTTATAATTATATTTAAAGACTAAACATACTGAATTATTACAGAAATCATGGTATGGAATCCCAGCCAGACCCTCCATGATAAGGACATTTGTCTCTGGCAGGAGTTGCCCCCCCCTGCTGATATGGCGCCCTGGGCGGTGAGCCTTGGCAGCGCTGACCAGAAGCCTTTACTGCTCCAGCTGCAGTCAGGTCTGAACTATCGAGCCAATGGTTGAAATATGCTTAAAAACCAAGCAGTTTGCTCCACTTCCTTGCCTCAGATACGACCAGGATTAAGTCGTCTCTTATCTGCGGCGTAAATGCCGCCTAATTTTCTCTCTGATGTGCACAAAGAAGCAGTTCAATAAAGTGTATGATGGATGTGTTTTCAGCAGGCAGATCTTCTTTTATGGAAAAACAAGAAAACACTTTAGCGCTGAGAAGGCTTTGTCACCTCTCTCGCCCTCCTGAACCCTCTCCCTCTTATGTCCCTTTTTTATTCCCTCCATCTCTCTTTCCTTTATGGGAGATTATGTGGCTGTTTGATCTGCGGAGAGACGAATGACAGTGATTCTCCAAATCTAGCCCGGTATCAATCACACTCAGAGTCAAATACCAGCCGGGAGTGTGTGCGTCTGCAGGTGTGTGTGTCCACGGCTGTGTGTGCGTGCCCCGTCTCACCCATTACGCCCCTGGGCTCAGTCACGCTGTGACAGAGGGCTTTGATCTTCCAATTCTATCACACACCTTTATCCCAACTCTCCCCCCGCCTCGCTCTCTTCCTTATCATCCTCGCTGACATTTTTCCCTGTCTTACTGGCCTGTTTCACATACACACACACCAACACACACACCTCACATCCGTAGATCCACGCTCCGCCTGAAGGGGGCGGGAACAGAAAAAACACTGAAGCAAACGAGGAAGAAATACAACAAATACCCAAACATTTACAGCCTCTGCTGCTTCTCATGATGTTTCCCCGGATTTACTTTAGTTTATGTGGGAAACAAAAAGATCCTAACTAAATTAACATCTTTTCTCAACCCCATGCATGAAGCTGGTGCTGAACTGGACAGCTCCTTTAGTGACAGTCTGCTGCTCCCTAAATGCACCAGGGAGCGTTATCACAGATACTTCCCCCCCAGCAGCTGGAAGCCATTATAACCACAACTGTTCCCAACAACCTCAATAAGTAGCTACATTCATGCTCACTACTGCGAACCAAAAACCAGAGCTCGTCGGAGAAAACATGCATGGGGAACCAGAGAAGAGGAAGCCAGTGTTGTAGTACCCGAGATCGGTCTTGGTCTCGAGACCATTTTTTGATGGTCTCGGTCTCGTCTCGGACTTGACTGCATCTGGTCTCGGTCCTGTCTCGGTCTCAGGCGCTGAGGACTCAGCATTTTATTTCAAGACTGGTCAAGACCACAACTGTGGAAATAACGCTAATCATCAGAATATTATCAGTTTCTTTAAGATCCTTCTTTTTATTGGATGCTTGGATTCAAATCCAAGCAAAAACCTGTCCCATTGGTAAATGCAGTGAAGGAGATCAATGTATTTTTTCAACAAATTATCTGTCTCATAACATATTTCACAACTTGGTGACAGATATGGATTTATTTAAGAAAAGTTATATAATATAGCTTTAATCTGTATATGAGAGAGAAACAAGAGAAATGATTGGCTTTTGTTCAGTTTTACACATTTTACAGAATTTTGCACCTTGTTTTGAAATAGCACATTTAAAAACAACATAAATGTATGTACTGTTCATGAACGGCAGAGAAAACACTATTTTGATCGACTTTGATTAATTGTTTGAAATTCTGTGATTACTACACAGAAGTACTAAATAAAGATGTTAATGTTTAGTCCAGTTCTGTGTGTTAAATATCTAGGTGTTTTTATGTGAATGTGGGTCTTTAAGATCAATTTTTGTGATCTTGATCATGTTTCACATTTTATTGTCACATACTGGCGCTGGTCTTGGTCTTGACTCGGTCTCGGACCCTAAAAGTCTTGGTCTTGACTTGGTCTCGATACACTCTGGTCTTGGTCTTGACTTGGTCTCGACTTCCCTCAGTCTTGGTCTTGACTTGGTCTCGGACCCTATAAGTCTTGGTCTTGACTTGGTCTCGATACACTCTGGTCTTGGTCTTGACTTGGTCTCGGACCCTATAAGTCTTGGTCTTGTCTCGGTCTCGATACACTCTGGTCTTGGTCTTGACTTGGTCTCGACTTCCCTCAGTCTTGGTCTTGACTTGGTCTCGGACCCTATAAGTCTTGGTCTTGACTTGGTCTTGATACACTCTGGTCTTGGTCTTAACTTAGTCTCAACTTCCCTCGGTCTTGGTCTTGACTTGGTCTCGGACCCTATAAGTCTTGGTCTTGACTTGGTCTCGATACACTCTGGTCTTGGTCTTGACTTGGTCTCGGACCCTATAAGTCTTGGTCTTGTCTCGGTCTCAATACACTCTGGTCTTGGTCTTGACTTGGTCTCGATACACTCTGGTCTTGACTTGGTCTCGGACCCTAAAAGTCTTGGTCTTGTCTCGGTCTCGATACACTCTAGTCTTGGTCTTGACTTGGTCTCGGACCCTATAAGTCTTGGTCTTGACTTGGTCTCGATACACTCTGGTCTTGGTCTTGACTTGGTCTCGGACCCTAAAAGTCTTGGTCTTGTCTCGGTCTCAATACACTCTGGTCTTGGTCTTGACTTGGTCTCGACTTCCCTCGGTCTTGGACTTGTCTTGGTCTCGGGTTAGGTGGTCTTGACCACAACACTGGGAGGAAGCAACTAAACAACAAGGAATTGAAG